CACAGGAAAATAATGCAAAACCAATTCCTCCGTCCCAGTCACGCCATGAACATCACAAGAGATGGCCACATTTGGGGTCAATTCAACATTCAGCACTTACCTGCTCCAAAGGTGCTCCCCAGTCCGGTTCCGAGGCCTCCGGTGGTCGACTTGTTGCCAAATAGATTACCTCCTGTGGGGTTAGCGCCAAAGCCTGCCGACAGCAACAGCGTTAAAAAACAACAACCCAAGTGTCACGTGCCGAGGCGGCGCTTATGTTCAGTTCGAATTCGGTGCAGGGAATTGACGGCGAAGCTGTGCTCTTACCAAATGTTGAGGGGTTGGCTCCAGTTCCCAGCGTGAGCGCAGGCTTGTTGCCAAAGATTCCAGTGCCGGTGCCAAAGGACGGGGCGCTGGTCGTGGTGGTGCCAAAGCCGCCGGCTTTGTTCCCAAATATGCTCGGCTGGAAGAGGCGGCCATACGCGCGACGTCAGATCGTCTCTTTCGACCCATTTTGCCGCCGGTCGCTCTCACCTGAGTGCCCACGCTCCCGAAGCCGGCGCCGGCCTGGCCAAAGAGTCCGCCGGCGGCCGCGAAGCCGGTGGAGGCGCTCGTCTGAGCGGTGCCGAACAGGCCGCCCGACTGAGACGCCGCCGTGTTGCCGAACAGACCCTGGGACACGGTGAGAGATCGGCTCAGATGACCTGCGTGTTTGTGAGGATGCACGTGGGCTTGAAAGTCTCACCATGTTGCTGGTGCTAGCTTGGCCCAGCGTGTTGGCGTTGCCAAAGGAAAAGCCGCTACTCTGCGCCGTGGTGGTCTGACCGAAGGGCTTGAAGAGGCTGCCGGCCTGCTGCTGGTTGGGTTGGCTAAACAGGCCGCCCGTGGTGCCGCTGAAGCCCCCCGTCGAAGCTGATGGGGACGCAGATGGCACCGGCGGTGAGAATTCAAGCGCAGTTTTGGTCCCCGTCAGCCGCCGACTTTGGCGGGGGAGGGCGGGCTCATCACAACTCACATTGACCAAAGGTGCTCTTGTTCTGTCCAAACGTGAAGTTGTTGTTGTTCGAGGCCGCCGAGCCAAAGAGACCGGCGGGGGCGCTGGACGCGGGGGCGGCGCCGCCAAACAGGCCGCCCGATGCGGCGGGCATTTGGTTGGTGGCGCCCTTGCGTCCCGCCTGGTAGTCCTCCAGCCTCAATTCCTGGAGCAAGGCAAACAAAAAGGCACAAACGGTCAGAAACGGGAGCGGGCGGCCACCCGCGGCCACGTGAGGGCGCCCGGTCACCTCCAGGGATTTGTTCTCGTATTCCTTCATGGCGGTGATGCACTGATGCTTGGTGTTGATGTTGGTGGTCACGCCGGCTTTCACCATGGTGTCATTTCCCGTTGGAGCCTAAGTGCGGGAGAGAAAGACGCGGACTTGCATTGAGGCCACAGGCGTCAAAATCCAAGTAATTGGCCTCGGATTCCATCTCGACGCATTCACCATGCCCATATTGCCAGCCCTTTTGGACGGACTTGTCAAGACTCGTCCAACATTGATGTCAGAAAAAAAAACAGCTTTTTGTGTGAAACAAGCATCAAGCAGAACAGTGACTTTCAGGCCCATATTTCTGCTTCACCCCCAACATCTGAGCAGCGGTTTCGCTCGATGAAGCAGATCAAACCACATTTAGGAATGGCTTTTGATTGTAACAGAATCTACTTGGCAACACGCGTGGCGGCGCGCCCAAACCCGATTCGAGCCGTCAGTCCCCATGTTGACTTCATCTACTCACGTTAAACTTGACCGTGGTCCCGGGCTGCTGCGTGGTCGAGAAGCCCGAGCCCCCAAAGAGGGACGTGGCACCTCCAAAAGGGTTGGAGGCTGTGTTGGTGGACCCGAAGAGCCCGCCGCTGCTGGTGCTGGTCCCGAAGCCTGCGTTCAGGCACGCGCATGCCGTGACCCCATGAAAAGATCAAGAAAGAATTTGACGGGCGACGACGACTCACTTCCGAAGGACGTGGGCTTGTTGGCGCTGAAAGCATTGTTCTGCTGCGAGAAGAGCCCGCCGGCCGTCGTGTTGCCTGCCGCCGTGTTGCCAAACAGGCTGGTGGACGTGGCGCTGGGGGTGCCGAAGCCAAAGTTGGTGCTGGTGGACGACGTCGCCGGCTGGCTGAAGGTGCTGGAGCCGAACAGGCCGCCTGGTTGGCGAAAGAACGGGGCGGGCGTCAGAGTGGGCGCGCGGGCGTCAGTGTGGCGCGACGAGAGAGTCCACCAACCGGGTTTATTCTGCGTGGTGCCAAAGAGCCCTCCGGTGTTGGTGGTCGCCCCGAACGCCGACGTACCGAACCCCCCCGTGGTGCCAAAGCCCGCGTCTGTACACACGGGGAACATGCTGATGTCGCCCGACGTGCACAATGCGCCGCCCCCTCCCGCCCGGCAAGCGTTCCCCTAACGCCGGCCCCACGGCCGTTCTCACGCTGAACCCCTTGGTCCGAAAGTGGCGGTTGTTTGGGTTGACGAGAGGGTGACAAACTTACTTTGCTGCCCAAAGGTGGAAGAGGTGCCGAATCCCCCCGAGCCTCCGCCGAAGGGGGTCCCGAACGACTTGTTGAACATCTTGCCCTGCTAGCAGGCCAGCACGGGTTCACTACAAACGGGCAAAACACAAATGAACACCACAGCCCGTGGTTCCTAAAACATTCCTGCAGGCCTCTTTTCTTACTATGTGAACTCGAATTCTATGAAACAGGGTCCAACGCGAAGCCCATCTGCTCATGATGTGATGCGATAACTTTTAAATGACGAGGAGAGGTGCAACACTTTTGTTGAGACTAATCGACAACGAACTGATTATCAAATGAATCAACAACTACTTTGATCATCGAGGAACCGTTTCAAGACCATGATTAGCTTGAAATTGGTCAAATGCTCTTCACGCCACAGCAAATATTCTCCGATTTTCCTTCACCTTGCGTGAACGCTTCCTACCTCGGCGTTGAGTTCAAAGAAAACATTGGCAAACACCCGCTTTAACTTTGGAAAACATCGGTCAACATTTTTGCCAACTTTCTGGCAGATGTTACGGACCAAACCATTCATGGAATCAGAATCAGTTCAACTTGAAATATTGTCCTGCTTTCTTTCCCCATGTGATTCATTGAATGCCTGGAAATATTATTGCAAAAATGGCAGCATTGGGTCTTTCTGACCACAATTTAATCCACTTAATACCTACATACAGACAGAAACTCAAATGTGTTCAACCGGTTGTTAAGACTGTGAAAAAAATGGACAGATGAAGCAAAGCTAGCTCGACAAGAATGCTTAGACTGCACTGATTGGGGCGTCTTTGAAACTTCAACGGGCACACTGGATGAATACACAGACACTAACGTCATACATCAGTTTCTGTGAGGACACGTGTGTACCAACGAAGTCTTTCCGCTCCTTCAACAATAACAAGCCATGGTTCACTCCCAAACTCAAGACAACTCAGGAAAGAGAAAGAGGCCGCATTTAGAAGTGGACATCGGGCATTGTACAAACACGCCCCAAACCAATTGACAAAGGAAATTAACATCGCTAAGAGACGCTATGCAAAGTGGCTGAAAAAACAGCTCTCTGCCCATGACTCTGCATCTGTGTGGAATATGGCCCGAAAGCAATCGCAAACTATAGAATGCCATCCCCCCCAAACAGTGAACAATAAGGGTCTTGCTGATGAACTAAACATGTTTTTCTGCCGATTTGAAAAGGACACCCCCATTTCCCACACACCCTCTTTTTCTCCACTACAGATCCACCACACTACGGTTCACTTACATTACGAAATGTCCTTCCATACCTATTTGTCATGTCCTTGTTTATGATGATACTAGTGCAGCGTGTTGTACCGGAGACAAATTCCTTCTGTGTTCTACATACTTGGCCAATAAAGATGATTCTGATTCTGATCTGAATAAGTAGGGCAGGAAACTGACACGTTGTTGACAGTTTTAAGATTCAGAACACGACTCATATTTATCAGAGGGAAAGACACTCATATCACTGGAAGGGCCTTGAAATGATCGGTCTGATAATACTGGTCCCATGCGAATCGAGCAATGGCTTAAGTTTTCCATCTGACCCGTAACCTGGTCAAACTCGTCACAGCGTCGGGAGCCGTGAACGCCTCGGGGTCGGCATGATGTAGCTTGCTGCGCATTTACTTTTTGGACATTCCGGGTCGCTTTGTCCGGGGTAATCGCCAAAATAACACACCTGACTAGCCGTCGAGTGCATTTTTGTAATAAAGCTGATGAAGAGCCGTTGACGTCACAGCCAGAAGCCACCAACATGCTTTCCGCTCGCACGTTAGTTCGCCGAAGTCATCGCCGCACGTGTCAATAAAGTGACTTTGGTCTTACGTGGGGGGCTGGGGAGGCCGACGACGTCGCTTTGGGAATCCCTGCTCAAAACGAGCTGCGCTCGGAGACTCGTCGTAAAAACTTTCGAGCCGTCCAAAGCGACGTTAGCCGATCGGCTAAATCTGGCTAGCTTCGCAAAACAACAAGAGTCGGCAACAACGGGCCTTCCTGTTACGCGACTTACCTTTTGCGACACGTTCCTCGGTTCCTCCAACTCCAGCTTCTTTGTAGTGAGAAAGAAAGAGGGGAAATGAGCAACAAGCTTCGAAAATGTGTCACTAGCTTAACAGGTAGCTAGCTGGCCGGCTAGCTTTGTCAGCGCGGAGGGAAACTGCTCAACTACGTCACGACGCATTTTCAACTCTGCGCGGTGACGTAACGTATTTTCTGTTGTGCGTAATGCGTCACATCCGGTTCTCCGGTACCCTTCAATTCACTGGATTTAATTTTTTAAATGTGATGAGTTTTGGTCCCACTTTGTGTTTGATCTACTTTTATTGTTGGTGGGGAAAAAATCTTCACAGAACCGTATGGTATCCGTTGAACAAACGACCTCGCTTCCACAATAGCCTCCAATGTTGCCAGGTGGCGGGGATACTAAGCTCGAAAGAATGGGTTCTTCTTTATAGCCGATGTCACGCGCAGATTCTGGCATACGATACATTTTCGCCAGCTCAGCGAACTCGTTGGAGAACCGCTTTTTCCACGATGCGTGGGGATTGCTTCAGGTTTCAGGGTTCGACCATTCTGGTTCTTATCCAGTACATGCGCTTTTTATTTGGTGACGTTCTCAGCTTGACAACACGGCTGAGGACACACACACACACGACACAAGTCAACTTGTGCTGTGGTAGCAGGTCGCCTCCGGCAGGTGGCGCCCCAAGTCAGGCCAGGGAAGCGCTGGCGCGCTATTGTTTCGCTTCCTCCTCCTCCCATCGTCGCCATGGTGCAGATGATGGAGTCTCAGTGCGAGTACTTCATGTATTTCCCGGCGGTACCCATCACGGACCTGTCCGAGCCGGCCCGTTACCGAACCCTACCGCGCCGGAGCCACCTCTACCTGGGGGAGACGGTCCGCTTCCTGCTGGTGCTGCGCTGCAGGGACGCCGGCAGGGCAACGCCGACCGAGCCAGGCCCCGGTAAGGGAGGGTGGGGGATGGGGGGGGGCGATGGCGATGGGACGGGATGCGTGCCGTTGCTGCTCTCTGCTCACCGCAATCCTCTTGTCATGCAGCTGCATAGTCGCGTGACAACTAATATCCGATCAGGCGCAAAATATTCGCGCCGACTCGGCATACACTGCAGATGCAGGCGACTAATTGACAGCGATGCCTCATGCTAAGAATAGATGGACTGTCAATACTGTTTACAGGTAGAGGTGCAACCATTCATGGACAACCAAGCAATCTTCAAATTCATCAGAAATTAGTTGTTTAGATAATGTTGGTGGGGGTTTGCTGAAAATGAAAATTGGGCATCGTAATTTCATCTTCTCAACAGCGGATGTATTATTTGACTTCTGTTGTTATTTCTTTGCTGAAAAGGCAGGAAAACCAATGTTCCCATGTGCGCAAAACTTAAAACACTTTGCTACTTGCCCAACTTAACATTTTTCGAAGTTTGTTGCCTCGAAATGTTGACCTCATTCAGTTTTTTAAAAAAATCATTCTTATCCGTTTCTCTATTTTGACATTTTTCTTGCCGGCGTGAGAACAAATGGGAGTTACAGTGTGGAGAAGGGGCTGACAGTCCTTGGCCGTTCCAACAGGGGGCGCCGCACCCGCCGCCTTCGGGACCGAATCGCGCGGCGGTCGCGCCTGG